CTCCCTCCAATAACGAGACAAGGCTACGTTTAGAGGGATCAAGAAGAACTGTCAAAACCTTTATTCCCTTGGGACCAGCCAATAGGGTCACCACAATAACATTGTTGTGAAAACTCAATAAAATCCCAAACAGTCAAACCAAATCAAGCAACACACAGTGACTTATCACAACACAATGGCACATTTTTAAAGGGGTAGGGGGAGACAATATTTAACAGTAAATATCTCACCTGCCTGCAGAATTAGCAATATGCAAATCCACCTGAATATGCAAATGAACCAGTCTTGCAATTCAGGTAGTGCATATTGCTGTTGCTACCAACAGAGGGCACTAGACAAGTTCCATAGCCAAACCCACCTAGTTGGTAGCAAACCTCAGCAATACAAGAGAGCAGGCAATACATTACACAGTACACACACACACACACTATAAACAATTACATTACACACACCCTGCACCTATAATGGGTACAGGGTGACTAAAACATAAGATAAATAAAGCAGCCTACATAAATAGTCTGTCTGAAGGTATACTAGGGGCTTTAAAGCCAGATACATGAAAGAGTCATAGTCACAGGGGAGGAGGCTGGCAAGTAGGCCTCTCCAGGACCAAGTGGCGAAGGGCACTTCGTCACAGTGCTCTTTGTGGTTACATAAAATATTGAATGTTATTATTCTTAATAATCCTTATTTTGTTTCCACAGTAATAAAATTACATCCACACTTTTGCATGCCTAGACATTTACAAACAAAACACAATAACACACCAGAAACAGTTGAGAGGAGAGAAGATTGAGTTAAATAATAGAAGCATGTACCTATCCTATCCAAATTATAGATTAGATTATTATAAAAATAACTCTCTTTTAATTATTAGAGCTGAAAAACGTAAATGCTTTTTGAAGACAACATTCTCGTATTCTTTTGTTTTTAGCTGATGAGGTATTAATCCAACTTAGTCTGTTTTTCATCTTAAATTGGAAAATAATTTGATCTTTCCTTTGGATTTCTTAATTTCTTGGGATTGTTTCTAACGTTCACCCTTTTAAAAAACTATTGGCTCCCTTGCCACCTTTGATTTCCTCTCTGACACAATCAAGATCCCTTTCAGTAAAACTATCATTGTTGCAGGAATTTAACGCCCACCTAGCTTCCTAGTGTATTACTTTTAGACATAGCCCTATTCCTTTGTGAAACTGTAGCTCAAAACCAAAAAAGTGAACTGTTGATTTTTGGAGATGTTAATAATGTTAATAAAGGGACACACCTGCACTGGGTTATGAAATATATGTATTGAACTTTAAATATCTGATGTGTTGTAGGATTTTATCTTTGTGATATGAATATTATAAGTTTTGTATTAGTTGAAATTAATTTCCTTTTAAAATACTTTCAGACACAAGAACTGAGAGATCCTATTTATTTGTTTACCAATGTTCACCACATATGGTTCTTGTTGAGATAATGATTGATGAAAGCCTGTTGATATTACCTTTTGACCTAGTATTGCAAGCAAGACTCCCATGTGTATTAGGAAGTTTCTTTTTGAAGAAATTCATTTAATCATGTAAACAGAAAGACCTTCGTGTAAATTATATTTTACCCCCCAAGTATAAACATTTGTATAAAACACAAAATGGAGAAATAAAGTAAACAGAGTGCAGGTCAGGAGTCTGGATACAAGTCAAGGGCTCATGAGCTGCACCACTGTAACCACCTAATAGGGAGCTCCAATGAGGACACTAGGGGAACTGGAACGTAGATGCTAGTTAGTATTCCCCTGGGCACCATTTAGTATGTCTCCCTTTTTTCAAGTTATACTTTTTGTTTGCATATCCCTTTTTATCCTTAGATTGATTAAAGGGAGGGCCCCATTCCTCATTTCTTAAACAGTGGAGCTCTCCTGATGTTAGTTTCCCCTTGTGGGACTCTATACATCACCTACCTCTATTTCCTAACCATTTGTATAATGTCTGGCTCTAATCAGAGATTGGACAGAATGGTTAAGCCACAACCTTTTTCTATGATGGCCACATATTTTAAAGTGTCAGGTAACCTTATGTGTACGCCTCGTGAGTAACTGAATTTTAGACATATACAAACATTTACAGTTAGAAATTCCTCACCAATACTTCTAACAACAAAAATGAATATTATCTTGAAGTGCTTACACATTGCTGTATTGGTCCAGATGTGTGCAAAGACTTTGTGTTATTTTCTCATGGTGTGTATGTTTGAATAAATATACATTTTTGGCTGCAATACAATCTGATTTGATTATTGGAACTTTGGTGTGACAAACATCTCAGGAACAGCTAATTTCCTACATTTAATAATGGAGAATGTGGGCAGGATTTAAGTCTGTACAGAAAAACTGTTTAAGATCCTGCAAAATAAATTGTATCATCCTAATTTAAAAGAATGATGTATACATATAGTACAGGAGTGTCTCATATGTGCTCAATTTAATCCAAGACCTAAAGACTAGAAACCAAAGTTACAGAGAGTATCTGTGGCAAAACGACCATGGAACTCTATTTAAATTGTTTTACATTAACATTTAAATTGAAAAATAAACGCTTGTAGTTAAAGGGAGTAGTTGGGTAACATATTTACTAGGAGTATTAATGTATATTCATGCAACTCCAAACTCTAAAACGCAAGTGTCACCTCATGAGTTAATGACAGGCAGAACAATGCCAATCACTTTCCCCAATGAATCTTTTGTTCCAAGTACTTTCAAATTTGCATCAGGACATGCTGAATAGTTGAAAGTATTACAGGAACAGCTGCAATCAGTTTTAAAATGTGCTGCTTCAAATATTGTCTCTTCTGGTAAACAATGTGTTAAAGGGATACTGTAGTTCCAGGAATACAAAGCTGCATTCCTGGCACTACCGATTCCTCTACCTCCCCCTTGCCCTGCGCCCCCTTCCCTAGTAAATAGAGGGTTAAAAACCCTTTATTTACTTAACTTATCCCAGTGCCGATATTCCTCGGTGCTGTGTGGAAGCTCCGCCCCCTCCTCCACCCTGCGACAAGCAGGGTCTAATGCGCATGTGTGGCAAACGCCGCACGCGCATAAGACCTCCCCTTCGGAAAGCATTGAATCAATGCTTTGTTATGGGGAAAATCTGACGTCCTCATGTAGAGGGTGAGGACGTCCAGCGTTAGATAAAGGACCAAAAGTCTGTTACGATTCTGGAAGCGCCCCCAGTTACTCTCTGGTAGACAGCCACTGAAGGCCACTGAAGACCTAGAGCTGCAATATAAACATTGCAGTCATCTATTGTGATTTGCTAGCTTAAAAGGGAGAACTTGACAATCAGTTACAAGTGTTTATACTTGATATAGAAAGTCTGAGGGAGAGTATGACATGAAAATAAGCTGCACTATAGAATGAGGATAAACTGCTACTCAGTACAAAGAAACAATAGTAGTACTATAAAAAATAAATATAATAAAAATAAAAATAAACCATCATAGACAGAAACTACCCGTAGTTACTCCTCTGTGGTAACATATGAGCAATTAAAATAGCCATTTGATAATCAGATATTAGCTAATAGCAGTCAATTGGACCTCACAAGTCCGTCAAATGGACGTCATAAGGTTGAGCATCTATGAAACTGCAGGAATATTGCAAAGTACGGGCACAAACAAGGTCAATTGAGTTATCTTCTCCATATCCCATCAATGGGGAGATCTGGTTGTAACCCCTCCAGGATTATTAGTGTACAGAGGAGTCCCTAGTCTTCTTAGGAAAGCATTCACTTCTGAAGAGTACCTAATATAATGTATGGCATCCTCATGTGTGATCATGGGAAGTTTAGAATGTGATGCCTTAGGGTCTCAGACTTATGGTCATGCTTCAATAATTGTCTCCAGGCCAGAGTGATTTGTGTCAAATTAAATGTTAGCAAATTAAATGTTTCAAAAGAATATCCTGACTGTTCTTAGACAGTCAGGAATTGTACAAATACATAACTCAAAGTCTCTATGTAAGAATTTGAGTGGCTTAAGAAACTTATACTAGTGTGTGAAAAAAATCTATTAATGCTAGTGGAGTTTGTTTGTTTATGAGATAAAACAGTTCATAATAGGCATGGAATAAAATTTGTCCATTCTTCCAAAAAAAATTCCTCTTGTACCCCACACATTTTTTAAGCAACCCACATTCTCCACCAGGCACTCCCTGTGATGGATGAAAGTGAACAGATTTGAGATTTGCCTTTTCCAGATATCACCACAGTCCTTCAATGTTGCCTGTTGTCCCACAGTAGGGCTTTAATTTCCCTTTTGTATTTGGTCTTCCTTATTATCCTTTAGCATGATGGCAACTATGTTGTGGTAGGTGATTAGATGGATCCCGCCCAAGAAGAACTTCTCTTTAGACTTAATGTGCCATTTTAAGCACAAGGCGGCTGCATAAGCATAATATCTATACGTTGTGAACTAGGGTCAGGATCTGATACCGCTGTTAAGAGCATTCCCCAATCCTGTCAAGTTAATATTTAAGCTTCTGAAAACAGATAAATACAGGTAAATGTGTTTTTTGCTGCCAAAATACTGAGAATCTTGGATCCCAAACAATATCTGGTCTGCTGGAAATTACCTCCACCCACCTACATGTAGTTTTAGAGGTTACAATACTGTTTCATTAGTATTATCTTGTAATATCTTGGGTCAAACCACCTTCAGTAAAAAAAGCTATAAGTATTTTGATGTCACAACTTCAACTTCCTGAGGGACTATATGTAAAAAATAATATAATTCCCCTTATTACTTACTCATTATTTGTTTTTATAGGAACCACTGTTATATTAATAATTTATTTACTGAACTGTGGTTTAAAATAAGTGTTTGCATTTTGCATGTAAAGTAAAAGGTATGAAACCACAACTTAAATAGAAAATGAAAAAATATAGACCTTAAAGATAATTTTTGATGCTTTTATTATATTCTTAATGACATGCTGATTTAGTAATAAATACAACTTATTAGAAATGGTGAAGTCTCCTGAATGAGCCAATTCTTGGGCTCATGGCACCCCAGTCAGTATATCTTCTGTACTCTCCAGGTCTCAGGTAATACTGGCGTCCTTTGTAATTTGGTTCCTCATAGAACATCCAGTAGCCATCAATCACCTGGCAGGAGTGGATGTCATGGTAACGGAATCTCTCATTGACATTAGCACAATCTTCAGTGAACTCCATCATCTGACCTCGGAAATCCTCCCTCTCATAGACCTTTACTCTGAATGATCCATGGTGCTTTACGAAGAAAAAAATATTTATAAACAAGAGTAAAATAATTGTATAATTGCATGTAAACATCAAAAATCTATACAGGAATATATATATATATATATATATATATATATATATATATATATATATTTATCCATGTTAACCACCTGTTACCTGACAATGGAATTTTGAATTGAAGATATATTCCATAAAATCATGAATAATAGTCAAAAAAGGTCATATTTGCAAAGGTAAACCTATAATAATTGATAATTGGAAAATAATGTTTTTTTGTACTGCATCATATTTATGTAAGGTTCTTAACTATTTTGGTAAATATCTTTACCTGTGGGCTAATACGACAAGATCTGATGGAGTCATTGAAACCCATCCATTGCTGGAAATTAGGATATTCTCCCCTGCTAAGGTAATACTGGTGTCCTCTATAGTTGGGGTGCTCATACAGAATCCAGTTTCCACTTTCCACTCGGATGGAATTACAGCGCTGAAAATATGAGGACATATCTGGACACTCAGAGTTGCACTCATAAGAGCGGCCCTGGAAGTTACGATCCTCGTAGAAGACAATCTGTGAAACAACCATGCATTTGAACATTTTAGATTTTTTAGTTTGTTATTGTTTTAGTGGTTAATAATTTCATTTAAAAAATAGTTTCTGGTTTGATTACTTGATGCTATAGATTCCTAAAAACATTTACTATTATCCTGTTCAAATAATAAAGTGTAGGTGTTAAACATATAAGTTTAGGACCGAATTGGAATATATGTTTTTGGTACATTTTGTGTTTTTTTAGATTGGTGAACTTGCATTCACTTTCACATAATTATAGCAATTTATTACGGTTAATAGTGGCATTCACTAGAAAGTACTTTAAAAAACTGAAAAAATCTTAATCTTGAGTCTGAAAAAAGTAAACATGTGAAGCATGTGTTCTGATGAATTTGTATTTGATGAGGCGGCAAATGTCCAAAACTAGTTTATGGAATATTATGTTGTCATGTTTCTGGCCTAGATAAACTCACCAGGATATATTGTATAGGATAAAGTTTGCTGGCATTCAGTGTAAGCATTTTAAACTTGAATTTGCTTTGGTTCATTTAAAAAAAAAATCTGTTTATTGTTTCCAAAATTTCTTGTGTTGCAAATATTTACAATATTCAGATCATCTTACCTTTCCCATTTTCAGTGATGGTTGATCTGCTCATGCAAGTTGTGCTGTTACATAGCATGAAGAGCCTTTATATACTGTTTACCTTGCTGATGCTGAAAACAGTACTGAGCTGGTTTCTTTTCATCAGTAATTAGAATGTATAGCTATTGTATACTCTGCTTCAGTATAGCTATTGTATTGTATCCTATATGCTTTTTTGTTTACCTGCTGGCACAAGCATTTCCTGGTTCTAAGGGAGATCTAGAGAAAATGTGACAGGCCTTTTTTTTAACTAGATTATTTCTATTCCTACTGAGGAAAAAACTATTTTAAAGCATATTTTACAAAAAGAAAAGAAAAAAGGTTTGACATCATTGCCAATTGTTCTGCAACTTGTTTAAGTTCTGTTTTTAAAGATATTATTATTATTATTATTATGAGGTTAAATTATATATATTATATTGTGTGACATGTAATTTGAAACTAAAGTACATTCATGTTAGTTTTACCAGTCAAATGCATCAGTTATAATCACAGCCATTTATTCATCCCATTACACCTCCTGAACTCAGGCTTGAATTGTGTTTTTGTGTATTTTCAACGTTATCACAATCCAAAACATTTGAACTATTAAAAATAAAGTTACATCTCGGCTTATCTCTTATTGGTATTCACATTATCTCATGATCATGGAATTAACAACAAATTAAATAGTGCTTGTAACGGAGCTCCTTGTACTCCGACTGAATACCCTCCGTTGACGGATGCTCCTAGCGCTTCCTGAGGACTCCAAGCGCTGCAGCAGACACCACAACCACCGCAGACTCCGCAACCGCCGTATCTTGACTGGAGTCGCGCCGGCTTCCTTCCACCCTGGATCAGCTTCTGTCCTCCAGGACTGTGTGGAAAGAACTCTTCCTTCCACCCTGTACAAACCTCCAGCATCCAGGACTGTGTGGTGAAGACCCCTCCTCCAAGGAGAGCGTGTCAGGAACAAGCTCTTAAAAGAGCTAAGTGACTCAAGCTCAGGGGAGCATGCAGAGCATAGCAACCCCCAGTGTGATTATAACAACTCCCTCCAATAACGAGACAAGGCTACGTTTAGAGGGATCAAGAAGAACTGTCAAAACCTTTATTCCCTTGGGACCAGCCAATACAGTCACCACAATAACATTGTTGTGAAACCTCAATAAAATCACAAACAGTCAAACCATATAAAGAAACACACAGTGACTTATCACAACACAATGGCACATTTTTAAAGGGGTGAGGGGAGACAATATTTAACAGTAAATATCTCACCTGCCTGCAGAATTAGCAATATGCAAATCTACCCGAATATGCAAATGAACCAGTCTTGCAATTCAGGTAGTGCATATTGCTGTTGCTACTAACAGAGGGCACTAGACCAGCTCCATAGCCAAACCCACCTAGTTGGTAGCAAACCTCAGCAGTACAGGAGAGAAGGCAATACATTTCACAGTACACACACACACACTATAAGCAATTACATTACACACACCCTGCACCTATAATGGGTACAGGGTGACTAAAACATAAGATAAATAAAGCAGCCTACATAAATAGTCTGTCTGAAGGTAGACTAGGGGCTTTAAAGCCAGATACATGAAAAAGTCATAGTCACAGGGGAGGAGGCTGGCAAGTAGGCCTCTCCAGGACCAAGTGGCGAAGGGCACTTCGTCACAGTGCTCTTTGTGGTTACATAAAATATTGAATGTTATTATTCTTAATAATCCTTATTTTGTTTCCACAGTAATAAAATTACATCCACACTTTTGCATGCCTAGACATTTACAAACAAAACACAATAACACACCAGAAACAGTTGAGAGGAGAGAAGATTGAGTTAAATAATAGAAGCATGTACCTATCCTATCCAAATTATAGATTAGATTATTATAAAAATAACTCTCTTTTAATTATTAGAGCTGAAAAACGTAAATGCTTTTTGAAGACAACATTCTCGTATTCTTTTGTTTTTAGCTGATGAGGTATTAATCCAACTTAGTCTGTTTTTCATCTTAAATTGGAAAATAATTTGATCTTTCCTTTGGATTTCTTAATTTCTTGGGATTGTTTCTAACGTTCACCCTTTTAAAAAACTATTGGCTCCCTTGCCACCTTTGATTTCCTCTCTGACACAATCAAGATCCCTTTCAGTAAAACTATCATTGTTGCAGGAATTTAACGCCCACCTAGCTTCCTAGTGTATTACTTTTAGACATAGCCCTATTCCTTTGTGAAACTGTAGCTCAAAACCAAAAAAGTGAACTGTTGATTTTTGGAGATGTTAATAATGTTAATAAAGGGACACACCTGCACTGGGTTATGAAATATATGTATTGAACTTTAAATATCTGATGTGTTGTAGGATTTTATCTTTGTGATATGAATATTATAAGTTTTGTATTAGTTGAAATTAATTTCCTTTTAAAATACTTTCAGACACAAGAACTGAGAGATCCTATTTATTTGTTTACCAATGTTCACCACATATGGTTCTTGTTGAGATAATGATTGATGAAAGCCTGTTGATATTACCTTTTGACCTAGTATTGCAAGCAAGACTCCCATGTGTATTAGGAAGTTTCTTTTTGAAGAAATTCATTTAATCATGTAAACAGAAAGACCTTCGTGTAAATTATATTTTACCCCCCAAGAATAAACATTTGTATAAAACACAAAATGGAGAAATAAAGTAAACAGAGTGCAGGTCAGGAGTCTGGATACAAGTCAAGGGCTCATGAGCTGCACCACTGTAACCACCTAATAGGGAGCTCCAATGAGGACACTAGAGGAACTGGAACGTAGATGCTAGTTAGTATTCCCCTGGGCACCATTTAGTATGTCTCCCTTTTTTTCAAGTTATACTTTTTGTTTGCATATCCCTTTTTATCCTTAGATTGATTAAAGGGAGGGCCCCCATTCCTCATTTCTTAAACAGTGGAGCTCTCCTGATGTTAGTTTCCCCTTGTGGGACTCTATACATCACCTACCCCTATTTCCTAACCATTTGTATAATGTCTGGCTCTAATCAGAGATTGGACAGAATGGTTAAGCCACAACCTTTTTCTATGATGGCCAAATATTTTAAAGTGTCAGGTAACCTTATGTGTACGCCTCGTAAGTAACTGAATTTTAGACATATACAAACATTTACAGTTAGAAATTCCTCACCAATACTTCTAACAACAAAAATGAATATTATCTTGAAGTGCTTACACATTGCTCTATTGGTCCAGATGTGTGCAAAGACTTTGTGTTATTTTCTCATGGTGTGTATGTTTGAATAAATATACATTTTTGGCTGCAATACAATCTGATTTGATTATTGGAACTTTGGTGTGACAAACATCTCAGGAACAGCTAATTTCCTACATTTAATAATGGAGAATGTGAGCAGGATTTAAGTCTGTACATAAAAACTGTTTAAGATCCTGCAAAATAAATTGTATCATCCTAATTTAAAAGAATGATGTATACATATAGTACAGGAGTGTCTCATATGTGCTCAATTTAATCCAAGACCTAAAGACTAGAAACCAAAGTTACAGAGAGTATCTGTGGCAAAACGACCATGGAACTCTATTTAAATTGTTTTACATTAACATTTAAATTGAAAAATAAACGCTTGTAGTTAAAGGGAGTAGTTGGGTAACATATTTACTAGGAGTATTAATGTATATTCATGCAACTCCAAACTCTAAAACGCAAGTGTCACCTCATGAGTTAATGACAGGCAGAACAATGCCAATCACTTTCCCCAATGAATCTTTTGTTCCAAGTACTTTCAAATTTGCATCAGGACATGCTGAATAGTTGAAAGTATTACAGGAACAGCTGCAATCAGTTTTAAAATGTGCTGCTTCAAATATTGTCTCTTCTGGTAAACAATGTGTTAAAGGGATACTGTAGTTCCAGGAATACAAAGCTGCATTCCTGGCACTACCGATTCCTCTACCTCCCCCTTGCCCTGCGCCCCCTTCCCTAGTAAATAGAGGGTTAAAAACCCTTTATTTACTTAACTTATCCCAGTGCCGATATTCCTCGATGCTGTGTGGAAGCTCCGCCCCCTCCTCCACCCTGCGACAAGCAGGGTCTAATGCGCATGTGTGGCAAACGCCGCACGCGCATAAGACCTCCCCTTCGGAAAGCATTGAATCAATGCTTTGTTATGGGGAAAATCTGACGTCCTCATGTAGAGGGTGAGGACGTCCAGCGTTAGATAAAGTACCAAAAGTCTGTTACGATTCTGGAAGCGCCCCCAGTTACTCTCTGGTAGACAGCCACTGAAGGCAGACCTAGAGCTGCAATATAAACATTGCAGTCATCTATTGTGATTTGCTAGCTTAAAAGGGAGAACTTGACAATCAGTTACAAGTGTTTATACTTGATATAGAAAGTCTGAGGGAGAGTATGACCT